GTTCGTAACGTTATGCAGCTTTTGCTTCGCAGAAAGACCTATTTATTACGACAAGCGTAGTAATATTAATTCCCAGACTTTCAATTGAAGTAACTAACTACAGTAATCCTTCTTTACTGTGAACAAACAGAAACAACGAAATAGTAGAGTTATTGTTTGAATCTGTCGTTTAACCTCGAATACTTGAAGTTATAATAAAACTCGGTGAAAGAGAAATCACACAGAAAGCTTCAAGCAAAGAAACTTCCAGTCTTCAAAAATCGCAAACAATTTTTTAGAGACGTTTGGGACAAAAGTGCCAAAAGTTTCCCACTTACTGCATCTTTGAGGGGGGGGGGGACGAGCTTAACGCTGTCAAAGTAGAACGCTCCACGATTTAAAATGAGATCAACTGGATTATTGTATAATTTGAGAAAACGCGCGATCTCGTGACATCGCGATGGCCGTTAATCAGAGGCGATACTAACCGATCGTGACCGGGAAGGGAGGAAGAAGAGGGAGAGGCCACAAGAAAGAAAGAAGCGCGATGATGGGTGGCAGATAAAGCCGGAGTTACGGTAGTCGTGCTAAAATGAAGTCAAATCATATTTTTAAGATGCAATTTCGCCGGAAAATCTCTTATGCTCCGTAGCAGATGCTACCAGGCCACCGTTAACCTGTCTAGCGTTGCCCCGGCATTCTTCCTCAACTGCGACACGTATCCAGCAAGATCTCTCGGCTAAATGTGAAAGACGAGGCGAACGAGAGAACGGCGAGGGGTTGGATTAGCGTGAACAAGAAAAAATAGACGAGAAGATGTAGCGTGAAAGAAGCCGGTCGTATCTTTGGTCATTTTCGCATTTCCACAAGCACTTCCTTTTCCTTTCTTTCCTGCGAGAAACGCCGGACTCTTTCGCGGAGGTTTTCTACTTGAACGAGCGACGACAGTTTTCCTCGTGAACTTCGAGTCGCGTCGTACAAACGAGTTCGAGAACCAGAAAACAAACTCGCACGCGTTCTGGATTACACTTCTCTGCGGGAGAGAATCGAAGCCGAATCCTCCCGCAAACTTACACCGGTTTCCCGATTCTTGTTGAACGTTTGCACGATCGTTCCCGCGAATTTGTCGCGACAAATTTTTAAGTTAATCACCCAAGTCCTCGTACATCCGTCAAGTTTCAAATATTGGAAACAGAAATAAAAGTGGATTTTTGATTAATCTATTGGTTAAAATTAAACCACTTCTAAGATTTATATACTTGAGAAAAGAAAATTGAGATTTACGCTTTTTGTATGAATAAATCGAAAATATGATGTTACAAAACTCTATTTGCAAATTATAGTAAAGCCAGTAAAATTCCGATTATGATAATAATAATAAGAAGAAGAATATTTTGTACTCCATTCATGCTTTTCGGTTTTGATTAATCTATTATTTTCCAATGATCGTCATTTTTTCAGAACCTGTGCAAGCTTACTCAAACTCAAAACTCCCATTTGCCTTTGAATATTCGAAATTTTCAGAAATTTCTTTCAGCCGATTGTCGGCTACGGAATAGACACACAGATTGATATTATTTCTCGGTAGAATTCTTTATTCAGAATTTTCTTCAACGAACGAAACGTTCGCTCTCCGCGGACTATTACACGGTAATTATCGCACTGAATGCTGAACCAGTAAATATGTGTAACGCGAACAAACGAATACGTAATTTTCCAGTTACGACTGTTGAACGCGATCGATATCCCGGTGGCCGATAGATCGATCGGCTAACCAGAGGCACGCGCTCGAACTCGCTTCCGGACACAGACGGTCCACTTCGGTCGATTAGAAGGGTTTGCCTAGGAATTACAACAGCTCGTCGGCACGTTCTATCTGCCAATCAATCCCGGGATAGCAATCGAGCTACCAGGATTCCGAACCGTCGGTCTTAAAAAAACGCTCGGAGCCAGTGCCCCGGCGGCAGTAACCTTTTGAATGGCGATCGTAAAGACGAAGGAAGAGCAACGAACGCGGAAGGGGGAGGACGCGGCCATCGATAGATAGGGACGTTGAGCGGAATATCGGTGAAAAGTAAAGGGCGGATTACACAGGCAACTGGAAAGAGAGAGAAGAAAAAACGATGAAGGCAGAGATAGCCGCTATAATGGGGTACAGTGATTAGGCTGGCTGTACCATTCACCGGGACAATAGAGACGTTCTGCAGTTAGGCGAAGTATCGACGAACCAATCGGCCGCTGCTCGGCAGAGAAGACGCTGAAAGATTTTTTCCCCGGCTCTTCATCTTTCTTGGCAAAGTGGATTGACCGACTAGACAACCGGAAGAACCCTATTAAAGAGAGGAGGAGTGAAAGATCAAATAGTTTTTGGGCTCTGAGTGGCTCTCTCGGTAATCTTGACACCGCGTCACCGATATATCGACGCTATTTCTTTCGAAAACTGGCCAATTTACCGACATGAGGACGACAAAGTCAATAAGAAGGAAGAAGTCCCGCGACTTTGGATTCCAGTTACCCGAGAGTGACGTGAGTGTGCCCTGCGAGTGTGATCGAATTTTCTGTCCAACGTGACTATGGGCTCCTTTGTAATCCCGTTAGAATGTTTGAGAATCTAAAGAACTCGCGAGGGGACTTTACAATCACGATACGACAGTTTGCTTGCGAGTGATCGTTGGTCGTGAATTAATGTGGAAGTTGACAAGTATGTAAACACCATTTTTTGATATGAAATCTGTGACACACATAAATGACGATAGAATTGAGTAGAGAGTGATTTTACGTGCAAAAGTAAGTCGAAAAGAAAAGAATAATATTGAATATTACAAATTATTATATTACATTAAGTAATAATAATGATAATAATAATGTCAAAGATAAATTTAGCTAATTCTAGGCTTGATAGAAGTAAATGATAATTTGACGCGCGAAAATAAGAAAAACATGTAAAAAAAAATTTTGCCATTTAAGGTGTCATTTTCAAGGAAGTAGATTATGAACATGTTTAATTAAGAATTGGCTTGATACGTGTCCACTTGGTAAAATGTCCACGTACTTTCATGCGACAGTACGTCCAAACGATATCATCCAGAAAATTGTTGCTGTCACTCGTCGACCATTCGCCGCTAGCAGAATTTTAATTCATTTATTTATACGGAATAAAAACTCTTTGATGCAAAGACGAATAATGTACGTGACAAAAATTACGGAGGACACGAAAATGAATAAAATAAAAATTAACAGATGTGCGAAATCATAAAGCTGAGTTAAACACAAGGATTAGAAGGTAAGAAATTAATATTGAATTAAGCGAATTACAACGAATAATCAAACTGAATTTGATAATCCAAGCATGCTATTCCTAAAAGATAACACGTTGATACTACGGGGACACTACCATTAAATTTATGTTTCACCTATGAAACGGAATATTCCATTTTTTAAAAAATATCATATTACAATAAAAGCACAATGAAAGCATATTTTATAATATTGTCGAGCTATTTTTAATTTAACGCTCTTTGTCGATGATATTTATTTTATATATTCTCGTAATAAAATATAATCGCTTTGAACAGAACGTGTCGTTGGCGAATCGATATATATATATATATATATATATATATATATATATATATATATATATACGAACGTACAGAATTCGTACGACGCGTGAAATCATTCGTTAAATAATTAAAAATAATTAAATTTATTACAGTGATCGGTGATCGAATTATCATTGATCGTTTTATGATCTTAATAATTTATATACAACAGAAAACTTAAAATTGATATAAATAAAATTACTATTGAACAATCTTTTCGTCCATCCATTTCTTTCATTAATTTTTTAATTCAATTTTGTAAATTTGTAAAATTACGACCCTTTCTCTCATTTTATTATTTAAACTTTTTTTTTAGCTATCATATCTACATTCACTCTCCGTATGAATAAAAAATATACAAACTATTCATGCTACTAGTTTCTAGCATTTTTCTCATAAATGGTAAGTTTTTCAAAAAAAATGAAAAAGGAGAAAGTTTTAATTTTTTTATAATCAACATGGTGGCGTACTCGACATTCTCTGAAAAAAAAGAGTACTGAACTATCAGTTTAGAAGATATCTCAACCCTAATTCCGTAAAATCTATCATACAAAAGACAAGGAAATCGTACACAGATTATACAATTATACAATAATAATTTTTCGAAGCTACGTCGTCAAAAAATATATCATTTTAAGTAGCAGAAAGTCACCCTCGACATTGCGAATGTTGAAATTGAAACACGTCATCACGCTGTCTAGAAAAAAAGCACTGAAACACTCTCCTCCTCCATTTTCCCCCGAAAACATACCCACTTGCGAGGAAAACGCTGGAAACTGATATAGAACGAACACCCATGCATACATACACACACGTTCCTCGTTGCTCTATCTATCTATATCCACGTTTCTCGGAGCGGAAAGGTTAAGTGAATTAGTTAGCACGCAAATTTCAATAATCGAACGTTCCCTCTCTGAAATTCATTTTGCTGCTTTACCGTCGGGATACGAACCACCGGGACCGGCCGCTAAAAATCGGCGCTCGAGTGGCCGTTCCCAATCGTCGTCCGGTGGTCGCGAACGCGATTCCAAAGCGATTTCGTCCTTTAAAATTCGCGCACGGTCGCGTCGTTATTTGATTTTCAAACGGACGTTATTCCTACTGTACACCGATCGGTCGTGTACGGAACGCGAAAGGTTGCGCAAGGTGGCAAGGGTAATGGGCTTTCTCGCAATGAATCGGTCGAGTGCATTTTCCACCGGCGCGAGATTCAATCCGACAAGTCCGGGGAACTTAATGCGGAGAACTGGCTGGAAGGAATCGGGCAAGGGGTTGCGAGCCGGAAATAGGCTGCCGTCGGATTCGACAGGCCGTACATCAATCAATTTCACCGGCGTGGCGCGTCGTGATCGAAGAACCGGGCCACGCTGGAATTCCGCACGGAGCCGTTGCCTTCGACCTCGAAGAGTGCGAGAACAGCCTTTTCCTTCT